TATCTTTTGATTCCTTCCTTGATCTCATTGATCCATTCATTATTTACTAGCATGTTATTTAGCCTCCGTGTGTTTGTGTGTTTTTCAGTTTTTTCTTGTAATTGACTTCTAGTTTCATACCATTGTGGTCAGAGAAGCCACTAGATATCTTAAATTTATTAAAATTTATTGAGACTTGTTTTGTGGCCTACATGTGGTCTGTCTTGGAAAACGTTCCATGTACACTTGAAAAGGATGTATATTCTGCTGCTTTGGGGTGATAAAATGCACTAAAAATATCAATTAAATCCAGCTGGTCTAGTATGTCACTTAAGGCCACTGTTGATTCGTTTATTTTCTGTCTGGAAGATCAGTCCATTGGTGTCAGTGGGGTGTTAAAATTCCCTACTATGATTGTATTACTATCAATCTCTCCCTACTTATGTTTTATTACTAAAAAATATACTTTATATATTTAGGTGCTCCTATGTTGGGTTTATAGATGTTTACAAGGGTTATATTCTCTTGTCGGATTGATCTCATTAACATTATGTAATGTTCCTCTTTGTCTCTTATTGTAGTCTTTGTTTTAAAGTCTATTTTCTCTGATATGAGTATTGCTATCCCAGCTTTTTTAAAATTTCCATTCACATGAAATATCTTTTTCTATCTCTGTACTTTCAGTGTGTGTGTGTGTGTGTGTGTGTGTGTGAGTGAGTTTGAAATGGCTCCCTTGTAGACAGTATATGTACAAGTCTTGTTTTCTTATCCATTCAGCTACCCTGTGTCTTTTGATTGGAGCATTTAATCCATTTACTTTTACAGTGATTATTGATAGATACATAGTTATCGCCATTTTATTATTCAACTTTATGTTCTCTCCATCTTCCCTTCTTCTTAAAGAAGCCCCCTTAACATTTTATCTTAATACTGGTTTGAGGGTGATGAACTCCTTTAGCTTTTTCTTGTCTGGGAACCTCTTTGTCTAGCCCTCAATTTTAAACGGTAGTCTTGCAATGTAGAGTAGTCTTGGTTGTAGGCCATTGCTTTTCATCACTTTAAATATTTCGTGCCAATCCCTTATTGCCTGCAAAGTTTCTGTTGAGAAATCAGCCGATAATCTTACCCAATTGCCCTTTTAAGTAACTAGTTGCCTTTCTCTTGCTACTTTCAGGATTCTGTCTTTGTCTTTAACATTTACCATTTTAATTATTATGTGCCTTGCTTTGGGCCTGTTTGGTTCATGTTGTTTAGGACTGTGCCCTTCCTGGGCTTGTATGCCTATTTTCTTCACTAGGTTAGAAAATTTTTCAGTCATTATCTTTTCAAATAGGTTCTCAATCCCTTGCTTTCTCTCTCTTCCTCTTGGTATCCCTATTATGCAAATATTGTTACACTTGATGTTGTCCCAGGGGTGTCTTAAACTATTCTTATTTTTTTTAATTCTTTTTTGTTTTTGCTGTTTGGATTGGGTGTTTTCTGTTCCTTCTGAAATGCTGATTCTATCCTCTGCTTCATCAAGTCTGCTGGTGATTCCTTCTAGGGCATTCTTCATTTCAGTTATTGTATCCTTCACTTCTAACTGGTTGTTTTTTATGGTTTCTATGTCCTTTTTATGCTTGTTATCTGTTTGTTGAAATCCTCACTAAGTTCCTTGATCATCCTTATAACCATTGTTTTGAACTCTGTATCTGGCTTGTTGCTTGCCTCTGTTTCGTTTAGGTCTTTTTCTGGAGTTTCCTCCTGTTCTTTCATTTGGGACATATTTCTTTATTTCCTTTTTTTTACTGCCTCTCTCTGTTTGTTTCTATATTAGGTAGATCTGCTACATGACCTTATGTAGTAGGTGCCCTGTGGGGCCCAGCAACAGTCTCCCTGATCACCTATGCTGGGTGTCCCATGAATGTCCCTTGTGTGGGTTGTGTTTCCCTTCCTATTATTGATTGCTATTGGCATGTCAGTGGGTGGAATTGACCCTCAGGCTGACTGGCTGTGGGGTTTGGCCCCATCCACATCTTATGGGCTGCTGTGTTAACAGCTTATCTTGTGGAGCAGGATTAGTCCCAGCAGGCTCTTGAGCCTGTTGAGACTACCTTTTGGGTGTGGTGCTTGTGGGGTGATTTAGGTGTGCTCTACTGTGGTCTGAAGTGGACCTCCAAGTAGGTTGGTTCCGGTGCCTCTTGGGAGGGGCTCTGGTACAGGCCCAGTTCAGCCTCTGCCTGTGGTCAGCTGGGGACTACCTGGTAGGAACTACAAAGCGATTCACAGTTGTTCGCGGCCTGTGCTGGACCTGGAGGCGCGTAGACGAGGCCACAGTGTGAACTGAGGATGTCAGCCACCAGTTCTGGGCCTGGGGTAGCTCCTCAAAGGGCCCAGGGTACTCCGAAACTACCTGCCAGCTCCTATTAAAGCTCAGCCGCTGGTATAACTAACCTCTTTTGGTTGCCAAGTTGGGTGAGGTGGGTCTCAGAGTCACCAGGTTGGGACGATTGGTGTTCAACAGGTTAATGTATATTCTGGTTTGGTCCAGCCGTGAGCCTGGAGTTACTCCACAAAAGCCTTAGAGCACACTGAAGCCAGCTACCCCCCTGGGGCCCAGAGACCCCTGAGAGTTGTCCAAGAAACAGTGCAATGGGGGCGGGGCTAGCTGTTTGCTGAGAAAGTGCCTCAGGTTTTGCTGGATTGGGGGGGTTGGGGGGGGCCCCAGGGAGTGAGCAGGGTGGAATAAGTGGTGTTCACCAGGCCAATACAGATTCAGATTTGGCTTTGTTGAGGAGGGCTTAACACAAGGTGGTGCCCACATGCCAGCTACATTAGGAGAATTCTACACAGGGAAAATGGCAACTGTCCCTCCAGTCCTTGCCCTGCAGCCACACAACTCAGTCTCTCCCTGTATGTCACTGACGCCTCCCTAGTCACTGTCCCTCTGCCAGAGGCCAGGTTGAGCGCCTGTTAGCAAGTGAATCTGTGTGGGGGCCCTTTAAGATGACATCTGAATTTTTCTCCACCTTTCATCCCACCCAGTGGGTTGGAATATCCACTGTTTTTCACAGCCCTATATCATGTGGGCTCTTCTTCCTGGCACCAATACTCTGGGGTGGGGATTTTGGTGTGGGGCTGGGGTCCGTTTCTCCTTCTGTGGTGGTGGTGGTGGTGGTGGTTGTGGTGGTGGTGGGGTACCTCTGTAGCCAAGATATGCCTCCTGATTCTCAGCTGCCACACTCAGGTATCAGGCTGACCCATTCTACATCTTCACCTATTCTCCCACTCCTGATGTGGCTTCTTTATATCCTTAGTTATAAAATTTTTGTTCAGCTAGACTTCTGATGGTTCTCCAGGTTGATTGTTCTCTAATCTAGTTGTATTATAATTTTAATGTGGTATCGGGGGAGGCAAGCACAGCTTTTATCTATTTGTTCTGCCATCTTACATCTCCCTCCCTAACATAGTCAATCTTGATATCTGTATGAGTATAACACAGGAAGGATGAGTCTTAACTTACTAGCAGTTCTCCTACAAAACTAGATACCTAGATGCAAATTGGCAAACTGTAGACATACTTACAGAGATAGCTTTAGTTTGGAATGGAAATGGACACAGTTTTAAAATTGGTAGAGATTTCTACATTCTCTTCTACAGTCAAAACTTAGCCTGACTTCAGACTGTAATTATCTTTGTTCAAGCAATTACACTGTACTGCCTAAGTTTGTTTATTGCTTCAGCTATAAACATTTTATAATAAAATGTATGATTGATTTAAAAGAATTTTAAATATCACTGTATACATAAGCCCAGCTCTCATGGTCAGGTTAAAGGGACAGAAGGAAAGTCTTCTTGAGTTTCCTATTTCCCTGAAAGGATATGCTAGAATAATCATAGAGTGTATTGGAAATTTCTAGAGGAGGAGGAACATTCACGTATTTCTGCTACCATCTTCTCATAACTGGAGCTAACTCTACTCTAGGACAGTTCTGTTTATTTGGCTTGTAGTCCCCTATGCAGCCTCAACTCCTCTTTTTTGGCCATTTTTTCCTAACTATAACAGCATTTCCCTTCCAGATACCCAGGTATATACTTTATGTTTTGTAGCTCTTCTAAATCATTTTAACTGAATGTTTATATTTTCTGTCCACATAGCTAGTACTCTGGTGCTCTTTCTCTGTATTATATAATTTAGCCATTACTAACTGATTTCTGACAGCCCAAGTATATTGTTGGAATTTATCTTTGTTAATATACAAGTATACTCTTCAAATTTAGTACTGCAAAATGTATGGTGTTAGGAGGTCATTATATTATTTAATGTTGTCTTTTCATGAAGAAGCAGCATAACTTTGAATTTCCCCCAAAGGAAAATTATTGGTGTGGTCTATAAATTTATCAAACTACAATTTCTAGAATATCATATTTTAACTCTCTAAAACTTAGCAACTGAGCCCTTCTAATGGGGTTAATTCTCATATTTTTCACTGTATCTTGGAAAACAGTAGGGCTTTTAAAGAGTTTTCTTTGTACCCAAATTTATTTGTTTGGTGAGAAGTTTGATTTTTATTATAGTTGTACAAATTTCAGTAGTAAATAGCTCAATTCAGACACCTCTTATGTACTATAGACCAGTGCTTCTCAAACTATTTGTGGTAAACTACCAATTTTAAAATTTTCCGATTTATCAATGACTGATATTTTTGTAAAATAACAATACAGTTGAATTACTAGAAAAGTGAAATTTTAGGAAATACAAAATATAGGCCCCACTTCATTATAAGATTCATTGATATAAAATTATTCTGTCAAATTGCTATAAAAAATTCTTAGCACTCTCAATTAGATTTGTAGAGTAGTAATAAATAGTTCATGGACTAGTAACAAATAGTTTACACAGGTCAGCACTGGTCTGTAGACCATACTTTTTAGTAATATATCTATAACCTGCTGTTTGTAGTGTTTAATATTAAACATTAGTCAGTGTGATGAATAGCAGTTATTCTTTAAAAAATATTTTCATTTGTTTTCCTTTTCAGAACCGAGAGCTCCAAATCATGAGAAAGCTAGATCACTGTAACATAGTCCGATTGCGTTATTTCTTCTACTCAAGTGGTGAGAAGGTAGGTCTTGCAGAAAGTGTGTACTGAATGTTGTGATACAGTTGTTGTATTCTTCTCCCTCCCCCAAGTGAAATAGTTTTGCTAATTGAATGGAAGAATTGCAGAACACAGGCCCTTGTGATTCTGAGCTCAATATATTATCATTGATCGTCATTAATTGTATCAGGAAAACATTAATGAAATGATGAAGGGAATGAATTTTTAAAAACTTTGTTTTTTTTTTAACATCTGTCTTCAGTTCTAAAAGAAATGTATATATATTTTAAGCCTTCTATGTTCCTTATGTGCTTTATTGGAGGAAGCAAAATGATGTCATTTTGTTAATTTGAAGTATTGGAGGGGAAGAGGAAGGAGGTGGCCTTCAGTAAGACCAGAATGAGACTTAAACATTGGGAGGCAAGTTTAACCTAGGGAAAAGTTAGAAAATGTGTATCTCAGAGCTTGCTGTAAGTGGTCACTGTTTATGATCACTTATAAGTCTGTGAAAGCCAAGAATAATTAAAGAAGACTTTGTGCGGTGACTCCTCCCCTTCCCTATCCCACTGGTCTTTCTCTTCAGAAGATGTAAGAATTAACGTCATTGTACTCTTTGGAGTTGGAAGGATAGAAAATCAGTTTCTTCTGTTGTCCTGTGGTCTTTTTTTTTTTCTCTGTTCAATGTCCATTCTTCCCAGATTCAGTCTTTTCTTCGTATTTTTCCTTCACTAGTTTGGGATGAGGGGTCAGGCCAAGTAGCAAAGCACTCAACCTTTTTGACTAAATAAACAGGATTTTAGAGAATATCATGCATATACTGTCTAAAGTCCTTAAGATCCATAATGCCTCTTGATTTGTAGCCCAATATTCTTTTTACTCCACACAACTATTTCCCAGTGAACCAGTGTTTAATTGTTTTTCATTACATTTTATTTATTTAGATTGTTTCCTTAGAAATTCTTTTTTTTTTTTCCTCCTATGACCGAGCCTGTTAGGAAGGTACCTACACAATTAGCCAGGATTGTGATCTACATGCCTGCAAATACATAATTGTGTGTGCAAGTGTGTGTGAGAGAGAGAGAAAGAGAGAATGCTAATGTTTTAACAACTAAATTGGCCCTTTAGTGAGTCTTGTTTTTCAGGTGCCCCGAGCCACCCCCCCACCCCCCAACCTTTTAAGTTTAAATGATGGCCTCTGCTTCTATTAGGAACTATAAACCCTTATAAGTAATCTAAAGCTGATTACTTGGATAATGCTACTTTTCTTTTTTAACCTAACAAACTGCCTATTATTTCTTTAATCTTATCTGTTTTGGCATGTCTTTACTTTTTCCCGTCCCTTCCCAAATAAAATTATGTAGCATCTATTATGTTCACAGCACTCATATAATGGAATTTTGCATCCATATGGCTTTTTGTTATTAGATGCTTGACATTATAGTGCCCCAGAGAGGAAAGAAAAGGTCAGAATTATTTGTTCCATGAACGACTGGATTGCATGCAGATTCATTTGCAAAAGTTTCCTTACAAAGCCCCTAGACATTTTCTCTTGACTACTTAATTTATATTGCTTTCCCTATATGGCAGGTACTGTTTTAGTGCTTTACAAATATTAACTCACTTAACGCTTATGAAAATAAAAAAGCAGAAAGGGAAGAATATCAAACCTTTTGAATTATCTGTGTGATTTTGGTTTGGTGGGAATTCCCCAACCCCCACCCCCATCACAGTCTTCCCTAGCTGTCACTTAATCCTGCCTTGGGAGTGACAATGGAGTGACTGTTATCTTTGTATCCCAGAGGATGCTTTTCCTCCCTTTGCTATTCAGAGCTGCCTTATTTATCTTAAACAGTCTGTTACTGATAAAGAGCAACTGAGAAGTCATTAAGGGAGATAGATTAGCCAGAAGGACAGCGAACGAACCTCTATTATAAAAAAGAAATATACTTTCTAATATTTTATTTATCTCAGAACTTTCCCTTGAACATTGTAAATTTTCCAAAGTGAAAAAAAGACACCTCCTAATTTTGAATAGCTTCATTAAAAAAATACAGAAATAAAGAAAAGTGATATATTACTGAATATAACGATCTTTTCTTGTCAAAAAAAGGAAAATTTTCTGAAGATATGCAGAAATACACAGGTTCAGGACGTCCCAGCCACCAAAAAGATAATTTCTCCTTCATCTACGATGATCTCCACTTCCTTTCTTCTGAATTGTTTTGCCAGAACCACTGTTAAGAGACCGTTAGTAAACTAATACATTTCATGTGAGATGGGCTCTGCCCTAGGGCTGAGAGCTCAGGTTTGTTAGTATCAGTTTGAATTCTCCAGGAGTAGATTACTGAGAGTGAACTGAGAACTGCTGTTTAGAAAGGGATCTAAATGTCTTATGAAGTTCTTACAAATTCTTAAAGGTGATTTATCTCTGAATGTGGCAGTTCTATATTAGGCAGGTGTTTTACTATCAGAAGCATCTATGTGTATGTGTTAGGAGAGCTTTGGAGGAGGAAGTAATAAATTAGTTTGAGATGGCCTCTGAGATGTGCAAAGATGCCCAGTAGACAGATGCATAGGTGGGGGTGGGGCTGTAAATGGAGAGATGACATTGACAAGGTTGTGTAGATAAGCTGTATAACCTTGAGTTTGGGAAGGAGGGAGAGGCAGATGTTTGAGGCCAGGACAGCAAAGAGCCAGCTGTTTGCCAGCATTGCCTTCTGGTCCTAGAGTATGTTGAAGGGTGAGAGCAGTCTTTATTTGAGAGAACTACAAGGAAAACAGCACCTTTGGGTAGGATCCAGATTTTATCTAGGGAAAGGCAGTAAAAAGAAACTCCATGAAGAGTTTTTTGAGGGAGTTTCAGAGTGCTCAGGAAGCTCGGCATGAGATGAATGGTAAGAACGTGAGCCTAAAAGAGGCTTGAAGAGGCAGTTAGGGGAGTGAGCTGAGAGGGCTTGTGAAGATGAGAGAGGAGGGTTCAACATTTCAGGATTATAGGGATGAAAGACTTGGTTAGGTTCCATGGGTAATTCCAAATGCATATGGGAATATTGTGTAATTCTCTCCTCATCATCATCTTTGACTTGCTCTCTGTCTCATCATTTTCTATCTCTTCTTCTAAGCCTTTTTGTCTTCTTTCTTTATAGTTTCTGTCCTCTTTCTGGGTTTCTGTCCCTTTCACTCTGGGCTGTGGGTCTCTATCTTTGTGTCTCTGGGTTTCTGTCCCTCTTTCTTGGTCTCTGTCACCTCTCAGATTTCTTTCCCTTGTTAACTCTGGTGTTTGGCTGGCTGACTGTTTCCCTGTCTCTCTCTGCCCTCCCACCCCACCCCCACCCCCTGTTGGCTCCTGCATGGATCTCTCAACCTCTTTGTCTGGGTTTCTATACCCCTCTTACTCTCTTTCTTTGAATATCTGATTCTTTGTAAATTTTTGCGTGGATTCTCATCTGTCCTGAGCCTTCCTCATTCTCTTTCTTGGTATCGTCTCTGAGCCCTCTAATATTCTCTTTTCTGAAATTTTTTTTTTTTAAGATTTTATTGGGGAATTGGGGGATGGGAACAGCACTGGAAAATTGGGGGAAGGGGAACAGACAAGTTGCTGTCGTTTTGTTCTTCAGTTTAGTTGTGGAGGACGCTTCACTGGCCCAACTTGGCACCATCATTGCGCTCTTCCCGGTTGAGGCAGATCAGTCGCCGGCTTCTGGACGGCCGCTCACTGCGGCTGCTGGCCGCTCACGCTGGCTGCTGGCTACACACGGTAGCCCATGGCAACCCACTTGCCGTCACTGGTGACTCACAGCAGCCCAGCTCCAGGTTGAGCTGTTGTTCAGCATCTTAGCTGTAGAGGGCAGTGTCACTGGCCCTCATGTGGGATCCGAACCGGGGCCCTCTGGCGTCCCAAGCCAGCTCTTAACCATCATGCCACTCGGCCGACCCATCTTTTCTGAATATTTTTAAGAAGAAAAATTTTTACTCACTATCCTGACTTTTGACTTCAGTTCTACAATTCTTGTTTCATATAGTATACGTTTTACATAGTGTAGGAATAATTATTTATAACTTAATTAAATACTCAGGATTTTATAAAACCTTTCCCTTGTTGTCTCATAATATTTATAGTTATTGGTTATATAATATTCCATTGAGTTATACTACATAACTATTCTCCCATTGTTATTTTTAATTTTAGAATTGTAGCTAAACTACTCCAAGGCCTTATTATAATTTTTGTCCATTAGTACTTTTTAGTTCTGGGTGAAGTTAAAATAGGATTACAGAAATATTTGGCAAATATTTTCACTGACCACAGTTTGACTGGTTATGTCTATTTTGGTGACCTTCTCTTTATTATGCTCCAGCCTGCCATTTTAAAGACTGTTTTTCTTTAGTGATGATAAATAATCAGTTTTTAGCGTATACTTGGGGGAAGGAGTAGTCAGTGTAACTAGAAGAAGAAGGAATTAAGTCAGAACAGAGACTAAAGATGTGAACTAATTAGTGCTAGTCTTCTGATTGGAATCATTAATGTTTGCTATAGTAACTGGAGAATCAGGTAGTTAATTAATTGTATACTCTTGCTTACCTAATAGGTTTTAGTAACTCTGATTTAATACAGAGTCGTTTTTCTCCTTGATCAGAGGGGGAAAAAATGGGATTTTTTAATATGTTGAAAAGACTGGGCCTGTAATACTTTTTATGAGTTCTAGGTATTGGATAGTTTTTTTTTGTTTGTTTTGTTTTCAAGATTTTTATTGGGGTATTAGGGGGATGGGAACAGTGCTGGGGAATTGGGGGAAGGAGAACAGACAAGTTGCTGTCGTTTTGTTCTTCAGTCTAGTTGTAGAGGACGTTGCTTCACTGGCCCAAGTTGGC